ACATATATATATATTTTTAATAAGCAATGTTTTTATAGTACAGAGGGATGTACAGCAGTTAAAAAAGTATTGGTCTAATTTAAAATAGCAAACTAAGAATATATTAACAACTGAAAGGCAATCAAGATTTCTCACCGGAGGAGGATCAGAAAAAAATGTAGACAAAGTTAATCCAAACATTTTAGATATTGTTCTATAATGTGCGCTTATCTAAAATGTATAATAAATAATTAATATCTTAATTGTAAATATTATAGATTTAAAAGTTATATTATATAAGTATATTGTATATGTTTATAATACACATTATATATAATTAACTTGAAACTACTTATGATCAAGTGTAAAAATATATAAATGCCTAGTCACAGAGTCTCAATAAGAAATATGTTCGGACAAAGTATTGAACTATACTAAAAATTTCTTATTGTTTGAATGTGAGGTATTTTTAGGTTAGTTCACCCAATGACAGATATACAAATATTTGTAGTAATTCTACCATAACTATATGCTTTTCCGTTTCCTTTTCTCTAAAAATATGAAAAAATAAATAGAAGAATATTAATACACACACAAATAAAAACTAAATACTATACTTTTTATTTCAAGACCGTCTTAAGTCCATGATTTACTGGACTCGACAAAGACTAGCTCAAGATCGGGCTTAAGCAATGACTATGCATCTAATAATCTTGAGTCGCACTTAAGATTTCACTATGGAATGAGATTTTCTTAGTTAAGCATGGTCCCAAGTTTTAGCTTCAGACTTGGTCTTGAGCAATATCTATGAATCAATTGTGGTCTTAAGCACTAGCTCAAGACCAGTTTGAATCTTAAGCAACGTCTATGGATTCCGCCCTATCTCAAGACAGATTTTAAGCAACGTCTATGGATTCCGCCCTTTCTTTCAATCCCCTCTCTCAGAGTATACGGCTATACGCATGCGCGAAACGAGAGAGAACGAAACGGTTCCAAATGAGCGCGTCCTTTTCTAAATAGAATTACCCCCACTCCTCAAATTTCCGACAATGCGTACTCTAGTACTAGTATCTCTATGGTCTTGAGAAGTTACGAACCAATCAGAGGGCCGCTTTAGCATCTTAATGGGCCTTCTACAATAAGCCACAAGTCATAAATCGGAAGTAAGAAACTAAAAATTGACGGTTGTGATTGGTTCATTTCTAGCTTATGACTTATGATTTGTGACTTACGGCTTAAGGTTGGATTATACTGGCCGTAATCTGTTAACTTATGCTGTAATCTGTAAAAATTGACCAATTATAATCGATTATTCCCCTCTCATTCGACTGTGATTGGTCAATTTTTACAGATTACGGCATAAGTTAACAGTTTACGGCCAGTATAAATCAACCTTTATTGTAGAAGGCCCATAAGGCTGAAATCACACGGTACGGAATAGAACTGCGGAATAGAGAGTGCGTCATTCAAGGAACCAATCAGTGCTAGAAAGCAAAATGCGGAATAAGGGTTGGATTATACTGGCCGTAATCTGTTAACTTATGCTGTAATCTGTAAAAATTGACCAATCACAGTCGAATGAGAGGAGAATAATCGATTATAATTGGTCAATTTTTACAGATTACAGCATAAGTTAACAGATTACGGCCAGTATAATCCAACCTTAACGCTGATTGGTTGCTTCAATGACGCACTCTCTATTCCGCAATCCTATTCCGCATCGTGTGATTTCAGCCTAAGTCATTACTTAATAGCGAATTCGGTCGACTTACACTAAAGGAGCCTACAGACCAGAGCGGCGCAGCGGTGAAGCGGCGAGCGATAGCCAATGAGAGTCATGCTTTTGCGTAAAAGCATGGCTCTCATTGGCTATCGCTCGCCGCTTCACCGCTGCGCCGCTCTGGTCTGTAGGCTCCTTAACACTGAATTCGTGTTGCACTAAACTGTGCGAGTGTAACCTAGTAGTGTCAGCAAACTGCACTGACGAAATTGGCAATGCAAGAAATTTTGCACTCGCTCAGTTTGCTTTATCTATCCGAATATAAAGTCAGTGCTACACTAGTGTAATGTGACGCTAATCGAACACAGCATATGATGTGTACCATAATAGTGCAATATTACCGAATACGACGAGTGCAGTGCACCAAACAGGGGCCATCGATCGAACACGCTGCACTGGGAAAATTTACACTTAGTGTACACTAGTGCAGGCGATCGAATTCGCTATAAGACAGTCTTGAAATAAGAACTGACTATGAATACCGGCCTAAATGCCTTAGGGTGCTGTCCCATGATACGGAAATTACACCGGAACGGAACAGTGAGACCAATCAGATCTCTGCAATCATTACTCTACTTTCCTTTCTGCGATTGTGATTGGTCTCATTGTTCCGTTCCGGTGAAATTTCCGTATCATGGGACTCCAGCCTTATATGGACATTTCAATGGGACTGATAGATATTGACAATAGAAAGAAGAAGTGAGATAAAATATCAAGTGCCCTGATTGGTTACGCGCCTCGGTCGCGCATGTGCAGTTCATTTTTAGCTACGGTGAAATCATGAGAGTTGCGCTACTGTATATACTGTGGTTTGGGCTCTTATTGCGAGGTTAGAACTTAGAACATATATACCTGGAAGGGGAATTGCTATGTTCTCCATAGTAAAAATCTGTGTCTAAGTTGGGTACGAGAGAGAAAGATCGCTTTTAACCTGTGCTCGCAATGTGCAAGCGCGGATGACGCCACACGTCACACTCACCGCGCATTAATGTCGGACAGTGTACATACAGTGATAAGTAATTATAAACTCTATTTTATACAAGCAAAAGAACAAAATAACATTGGAGATATATATATGTATATATTATTGGTGTTTAAAGTGTATTAATTTTGAATATTTTTGTCTAATAAAATCTTTTTGCTTAATATCAGTCGCACTTTTTCCTTCGTGAAACAAACGCAAATTTATATAAATTTTAATAATACTTTGTATTAATTCAGTCTTAAGCGGGGAGCACAGACTTTTGCATAATGCATAAAGCATGTGCATAAGGAATTTCATTGGCCCATTTTCTTATGCATGAGTCATTGGACCAATAAAATTCTTTATGTATATGTATTATGCGTTATGCAAAAGTCTGTGCTCTCCGCTTTATGGTTATTGAAAATATCTTGTTGCATAATATGTTCCGTCATTTTATTATCATTAAAAACTAAATGACAAACAGTTTGAAATGATTTCATGCACAACACATTTTTAATATTTTTAGTTTTAAAAATAATATGACTGTTTTCTCGAATAATAGTTTCACATACTTTTGCTATTTTTATAACATCTTCTGATGGAAAAATCAATTTTCCTCTACTTTTTAAAGTTATTAATATTGAATCAGTAGATTTAGCAGTTAAAAAAATAGAGCATGTATCACAAATATTACATCGTAAAAGCTTATCACGATTTATCACGTTTACCGCATAAGACACAATATGGGCCTGGCATTTTTTCCTACAAAATATAACTTTTTAGGTGACACCTTCATTTCCTAACCCTAACCTCTCTTACAAATAAAACGCTAATAATGGACCAATGAAATTCCTTATGCACATGCTTTATGCGTTATGCAAAAGTCTGTGCTCCCCGCTTAAAGCTGTGCGCCGTTTCGCTCATTCGCGCTTGCGCATTGCGGAGTGCGGACGGAGGTAACAATCTACCCTTCTCTTTCTTTAAAATGTGGTTCTCTCTCGCACCCAACTTGGACACAGGCCACTATCCTTCATTCCCTTTCCAGGTATATATGTTCTAAGGGTTAGAACATGCGAGTTCCTGGAATACGTGATTTACCTTTATGAGAACAGTTGTTGACAGTTGTAGGCGATAATTAGAATGTTTCGGTCAACAAGGAGTTTGATTGTCGCGCTGCAACGCGTGAAGGATCGTCGTTTGCATACCTGCGGTCAACAGTTATCAGAGGTTGCCGAATATGAATGTGAGTAATGTTGACACTGTTGGTTTACAAGAGGTTTGTGATTTTTAATAATAATTGCTATTTAAATGTAGCTCCTATCATGGATGATTATAAAAAGGGTCCTACGGAAGGTAGGGCCCTTTATTTGGATGCCCAAGCCACTACTCCATTGGTAAGTTTGATAGATGATGTCATATTTTGCAACTTATAAATTTGTTTTTTTTTATTATTACACTGAACTGCACTTGATTTTTTCTTTTCATTTTCGTCAAATTTTAAATATATTTTTACTTCACTTTAAATAGAAAAAGTACACTAATTCAGTTATAAAAAGCGAAAATCAAGTGTGCATACAAATAACGTACAAAATAATAAATTACTAGGATCCTCGAGTATTGGATAAGATGATGTCGTATCTGACAGTATACCATGGTAATCCACATTCCAGAACTCACATGTATGGTTGGGAATCAGAAGCAGCAGTTGAGCATGCTCGCCAGGTTATTTTAAATTTACAGATTCTTATATATTATATGATTGTTTAATCTAAAAAATTACTTCTGTTTTTAACAGCAAATAAGATTTGATATTGTTTTTAACAGCAAGTTGCAAATCTAATAGGAGCAGATAAGAAGGAAGTGATATTTACATCTGGTGCAACAGAATGCAATAATATTGCTATAAAGGGCATAGCAAGGTTCTACAAATCCAAAAAAACTCATATTGTGACAACCCAAACAGTGAGAAATTTTTATAAGTTTTTATTTATTTTCTTAAGTCAATCTATAATTAACTACTTTTATCTAGGAACACAAGTGCGTACTGGATTCATGTAGAGCTCTAGAAGCTGAAGGATTTGATGTAACATACATTTCCGTAAAATCAAATGGTCTTATTGACCTCAGCGAACTGGAAGCAGCCATTAGGCCATCTACATCACTGGTTTCTGTGATGATGGTGAATAATGAGATTGGTGTTAAACAGCCTATTGAACAAATTGGTACTATTTGTAGGTAGGCATCAAGATTTTTATATTGTAAATATTCTATTATATGTGTGTATGTATATAGTTACTTTTTAATTTCACTTTTAACTTATTACTTATATAGAAAGAAAAAGGTCTTTTTTCACACGGATGCTGCGCAAGCTATAGGCAAAGTACCAGTTAATGTTAATGCTATGAATATTGATGTAATGTCTATCAGTGGTCACAAGTTATATGGTCCAAAAGGTAATTTTGTATAAATTGATTATCTATTACACAAAAAATAATATACTTATTTCTTTTGTATATATTGTTTTAGATTGTAGACATAATTATTAAAAAATCAATATGTTTTTAGAAGTTTTATATTACAATAGAAATTTACGATCTTTTGTCTCTAATACAAATTTCATTTCAATAAGTTATAAAAATAATTCTACATTAAAATAAAAAAGTTCGCTGCATCTACAGTTTTTACTCAGCTAATCTGCATTTAGGTATTGGAGCCCTTTATGTTAGAAGGAGGCCTCGAGTGCGTGTAGAACCATTGCAAAGCGGTGGCGGGCAAGAAAGAGGGATGAGAAGTGGTACTGTGCCAACGCCCTTGGCAGTAGGGTTAGGTGCTGCTTGTGAGTTAGCGCAGACAGAAATGGACGTAAGTAAAACATAAGTTTCGCTTCATGTTGATGCATTTGAGATATTAAAATACACACTGTATATTTTTTTCCAGTATGATCACAGATACATCAACACACTTTCGAATCACCTGATTCAAAAGATAACGTCAAATTTGTCGCAAGTTGTGCGAAACGGAGATCCTATAGCCTGGTATCCTGGCTGCGTGAATCTGTCATTCGCATGCGTAGAGGGTGAATCGTTATTGATGGCTTTAAAGGACGTGGCATTAAGCAGCGGTTCGGCTTGTACCAGTGCAAGCTTGGAACCCAGCTACGTGCTCAGAGCAATAGGTGCCTCGGAAGATCTGGCACATTCCAGTATCAGGTATATACTTTGAGATAAAGGAATTTCGTTGATCAATAATCCACTGCTATTTCAATATACACTATCAATATTAAAAATCTATACACATGATGTAAACTATAGGTTTTCAATATTGGTAATGTATCGGAACACAACCATTATAAAATGTTTGGAAGTATCATTGGAATATCCAGTATCGTTTTATACTTGTTCACTGAATGTTATATAAGTCTGAAACGATATATAGAGCCACTTGAATGATATTTTCAATATACTTTAGCAATTTTATATTTTATCGATGTCACTTGCGACTTTAACTAGGTTTGGCATCGGACGATTTACAACGTTCGAGGAAGTCGATTATACGGCGGACAATACGATACAGCATGTAAAACGACTTCGAGAGATGAGGTAATACATTCATCAATTACTGTACAAACGTTTATTCTGAAAGTATGAGACGTAGTGGAGAAACTATGTTAGATTTACGTACACGTTTTTATACTTTGGCGTTATATCTTTACAATTTGAAACGATTGAAATCTCAGTTCACGGAGGGAACGATTTTATCGCTGGACGTTTCATGAAATCGTGATTATCTCTATTTCTCTATCGTCTGATATGCATCTATTATTAGCCATGGCATTACGTAAAAACGTACCAAAAATTTAATATTTTTGTTTTTTTGTAGCCCACTGTGGGAAATGGTAGAAGATGGTATCGATTTGAAGACTATCAAATGGACTCAGCACTAGTGCCTGGTTATCGTTTAACCTTTACAAACTTAAATAGATATAGTATGTATGTTTATCAAGTGTATAATATTACCGATCATGTAAATCATATTAATAAATCAAGCCTAGTCGATTAAGATATAATTTCACATGTAATAAATTTTCAATCAAGAAATTTGTTTTGCCGTAGCGTTGTCCTAGATTTAATTCGGATCATAGCGCGCAACTTGTGTACTTGGTATACATATCACGTTTATGCATTCTTCCTTCCTCTGCGAGATGCAACTTTCCCTCATAGGAAAGTAACATGTGCTTGATATAAAAGATTTCATTCTGTTTTCCTTAAAGCTTTAGAGATTCTCAGAGAGTGTGTGTCATGTTGACGAATTTCAATTACAGATTAGCACAAACATGATGGATCAGTTGCTTCATCGACATATGAAATCTTAAATCGATCCTTGTCCATCTCGTGAAGCTCCATTCGCGATCGATTAGCCTCAACCAGGTGCTGTGCTATATCCTCAAACATCTCGTTTACACCTTCACCGGTTTTGCACGACGTTTTATATATTCCCGAAATTAGATTATGACATTGTTCGCTAGAAGATTTAATTCTTTTAAAAATTTGTTATCACGTATATAAAAAAAAGCGTATTCTCTAAATCTTTTTAAGTGGAATCTTATTCTAAAAAGTATAAAAGGCCATTACAGGTACAAAAATTGTAATTGTAATCGTATGGCCGTAAACAAATTGGCCAATCACAGTCGAGTATTTTAAAACGTAAAATTGTAGTTTTAATTGTGATTGGTCGATTTATATGAGACCTTACGACTAAAATTTTTGTAAGTGTAATGGCCTTGAACAAGTAGTTTTGAAAAAGAATAGTTCAATTTTCAATCTTTAAGAATGAGATTTCACTCTTTAAGAGATTTACTCTACAAGTTTTAGAGAGTATATTAGGAAACTTAAAAATTATGAGTACCAAAATTGTTCCATCTCTGTGTCTGTGACTTGTGGTGCGACGCTTTCCAAGTCGCTTTTGTTTCCACAAAGGAATATCTTTGCATTCTCCGCATATGTAACTATGTCGAGCAAATGTTGAGACAACAAATGAAACGATGTCGAGTTATCCAGGGCAAACACCAGAATAGCAGCCTCTGCAAACTTGTAGTAACTTGAGGTAACAGATGCCACTCTTTCCATACCGCCAGTGTCCCATAGTTGCAACTGAGAAGAACAAAAGACATATAAAATCAAAGATGTCAATGACCCCTTTTACACTGTTAAATTGATTGGTACGCGTATCAAGTTGGTGTGGATTAAAATTTGATACGTTCCTGTTTACACCCATTTGTCTACAAACAGGTTAAGTTGGGTTTTTGACTTTTGACCCGGATATAGTATATTTTAATCTTCTTCTTCTTCGTATTTTAATCTCTTAACCTTAACTTACAAATAGCGGATTTAGTCCTAAATGTATCAAGCGTTTACAGCGCAATAGAAACTTTTGATACGCATACCAACTTGGTCTGATACTCATGATCGGGAGTATCAGATTAAAATGATCCCTTAGCGTTTATACCGAGCGTATCAAGTGATTTGGTACGAATATGGTACTTAATACGCATATCAAGTACTCGGTGTAAACTAGGCCAATCATATAAATTTCACAAGGATAATGTTTACTTTCGGTAAATACTCTGGAGAGTATTATTTAGATTTTTCACTATAATTTATCGTGATACTGTGTGAGTGTTGATTAAATAAATTAACTCATATAGAAGTAATATGTATAATAAATTCAGTTCGTGCAATATTTAAATAGTAGTCACTCTAATATTTACGTACGCTTACTGATTATCAGTCTGATAGTTCATTGCACGCAGCTCGGTTCGGCTGGAAATAGACCAGTAATACAAAACCAAATTCTATGGAATCCCATGGCGCAACTTGCATGCAACTTGACAATCAATAAAGAGAGAAAACGAAAAAATAAGGCAGAATTTTCCAAAGTAATTGCGTACATTTCCCGTTACGTGAAAAGGTGCAATCGATTCACATGCATGCGACGTAAAGTTGACACTCACACGTATCCGTCTGTCCTCGATGACATATTCCTTGTCGATGTTGTCAAGACCCAGGGTTGACTTACGATCGTTACTGGCGACGAACGTGTTGTTAGCAAAGCGTCGAAATATAGATGTCTTTCCGACGCCGTACTCGCCGCACAGTATAACCTTCTGCTCCGTCACCTTGACGGTCGCCATGTTGTGGCGCGGCGCCCGGCCGGTTGTGTACTGGACTACTGGCCCATGGTGGAAATCAGTGTTGCCAGATACCTTTGTAGACTTCCCCCTAAAACAGTCGGATTTTCCTTAAATCTCCCTCGGGAGACTGAAAAAAACCCTAGATTTCTCCTTAAGTGTTATTCCGTTTATTTAGACGTTTTTAAACTTCTTTATTATATAAACGTTTTCTGTTTATTCATAAACGGTGAGTTTAAACTAAAAACAATAGCTCATTTACACGTCAGCAATGATATGGATAAAAAATTATCGAATATTATGTTCAAAATAAAATAATTGAATATTAAAAATTTCTATTTAATAATTTTAGATATTAATATATAATATAGAGGAGGGAATAAGAAATATTTTAAATATATTTTTAGATGTTAAACATTTCAAGCTAAAATAGAACAAATAAAGGACTCTTTCTTTAAAAACATTATAAACATGGGAATGGCATTGTAAGAGTCAAACGAAAAGAAAATTAACAACAAATTAATACATATATTCTAAAATTAATGAACATATAAAATTTACATAAATGTAACGATTAAAAAACAGATGTTAATTACATTACTAGTTTCGACCACCAAATCTTTTGTAACGACCTAACTTTCGACGGCACGGATCTAGCTCGTCGGTTTCTCTGGCCAGGGTTTCGAAAGAGGTTCGTGCGGAGGGAAAATGCAGTAATAAATCTCCGACAATGTGTGTTTCGATTTTAGAGAAAATGCCTGTATTTGTCGTTTGTATGGTACATATAAATGTGTGTGCTTATTGTGTATATAATATGTTTATATGTCGATGTAACTGTATTTAGTCGATATGTGTATAATTAAGGCGTATGTGTGGTTCGGTATTTATAACTCTATAATACGCGCGCTGTGTGTTCGGAGCGTGTCGAGTTTCGCTGGTGTCGAAAGATGAGTATGTCGGATGAGGCGTGTTTGTGTATGTGCGTCAGCTGTTCGTTGCTATGTGTGCGGCGATGGTCGCAGGTGACTTCGGTACGACTGCGTGTGTGAATGTGAGTGTGTGTGTAAGTGTGTGTGCACGGGCGCGGCTGTCTCGTCGCGCGAGAAGTTTTTTTTTTCTTACGTGTATTCGTTTCGCACGTGATGTCGAATACACGTGCTACGGTTTTTGGCACGCGGTTTCACGTAACGCGGGTCTTTTTCGCGGATCGCCTAAGACAGCGGCCGACGACCGAGAACTCTCGGTGGAGGCGGAGAACTCTCCACCCCTGTTCTACGTGTCGGCCGGTCGTGGATACGTTCTTTTTTTTGAAGAGCGGCGGCCCTTGGCCGACGGTCGAGAACGCTCGACAGAGGCGGAGTATTCTCCACCCCGGACGTCGGTGTGACCGCTGGCGCACTGGCAACTGTCGAGAACGCTCGACGGAGGTGGAGTACTCTCCACCCCGGTTTTCTTGTTGCTCAGTGTGCGAGGATATCCCCGGAACTACCGAGAACTCTCGGCGGAGCCTGAGTACGCTCAAGCCCGGTTTTCTTGTTCGTCGGATTCTCCGTGTTTTAGCGGGGCTGGTGATCGGAGCAGGAGTCGGCAGGAATAGCGCGATTTTCTCGCAAACGTGACATTTTATGTCACGACAGATATCGCGTTCGTATCAACTCGGCGTGTTTCGTTGTCTCCCGCCGATAGCTACTGCGAGATAGCTATCGGTGGGAGACATTTTCGTCCGAACGCGGCCGAACATGTTCGGCGCGTTTCGGTATCTCGCGCCGGTTGCTGCTGCCGGTACCTGTGAATTATGCTTTGAATATTATCGGGCGCTATGCGCCCTCATCGCTGCATCGCTTAGCGGTGCAGCGGCGTCCGGCTGGCTGGTATTAGCCGGGAACGATGCATGAGAGGGGTGCATCGTTACAACTTTAATAATTTTTCACCCAAAAAATGAGAAGAACCTAAAATCTCTCAATAAAATTACAATAGCTCTGTTAGAATGCATTTTAAAATTATGAACCATTGAATTTCGAATTCCTTATAGTTTTCCGATTAAAATGACCACCTTATAAGTTAAAAACGACAATTTTTAGCTGAGTAGTAGCATTTTTTATGAAGAAATTTTTTTTAGCTAAAATCTGGTAAAGGAAATAAATTTTTAGTTTATTCACTACAACTCGAAAAAAAAAAATCCGACGATATTACACCATAGACGAACGTTTTACCCACCTTTTTCCGGTTTGAATTGCCTACTTATTGACCTAGGAAAAAAAAATTCTGACATAGAAGAGGTCGTTCGATTTTTTTTTTCTCTTATGCCTGTTTCCATCAATGCAGATTAACTTTAATCTCTAAAGTTTAACTTACTGTTAATCTTTCTCTAATTTTTAGAATTAGAAAAAGATGAAAAACAAATTGAACCGAGATTAAAGTTAATCGGCATTGATGGAAATGGGCATTAAACGCATGAAATCTAGAAACAGTCATTTTAATTTATTTTTATCGTTTAAGGCTCGCATATTTCTTTAAGTGTAATAATTTTATTTTCTGTATCAGTTTGAGACTTTCTCATGATATTCCGTAAAACGCGAGCTGGATAACTCAATTTTATAAACGAACCTTAAACGATAAAAATAAATTAAAATGACTGTTTCTAGATTTCATGCGTTTAAGAGAAAAAAAAAAAAATCGAACGACCTCTTCTATGTCAGAATTTTTTTTTCCTAGGTCAATAAGTAGGCAATTCAAACCGGAAAAAGGTGGGTAAAACGTTCGTCTATGGTGTAATATCGTCGGATTTTTTTTTTTCGAGTTGTAGTGAATAAACTAAAAATTTATTTCCTTTACCAGATTTTAGCTAAAAAAAATTTCTTCATAAAAAATGCTACTACTCAGCTAAAAATTGTCGTTTTTAACTTATAAGGTGGTCATTTTAATCGGAAA